ATAGGCACGTGCCTAGAATGCCTATGCGTAAATTCGGCCCAGATCAACCATTAAGTCAAGTCACGTTTATTTATATTGTGCTTGTTTGGTTGTTTCAAAGCTGTTTCACATTAAGTTATGGACTTCTGATCATCTCTATATCTTGCTACCAGTCAAAAATCTACAAAACAGAGGCCTCCTTTTGCAGAGAACATCATTGTTTGAGAAGATAAAGAGAGATGGAGAGTAATTCCAGTGCTATCAGCCACACATGACAATGGCATCACAATACACTCTCCCCTCGCTCTCTCTCTTTCTCTTTGACCTACATATCAGCAGAACCTTTCTCTGCATCTGCCTTTCTGTTTCTGTCACTTTTTCCCATTCCCACTGACCCTCCAGATCCTCTATTCTGCACCCGCTGACCTCACCGTCTCTCTCTGAACCAGCCGAGCGTGATGTCAGTGCCTTTCAGTTCCCTTTCAGCAGAAAGACATACAGGCTTTCCAACCATGTTTACGTTGTAATACCCATGTCATTATACACATTTGTGTCCTCATAATAAACCATATATACCAGAACACACACACACACATGCACACACACACTCTCTTTTGCCCTACAGCACGCACGCACGCACACACACACACACACACACACACACACACGCGCACACACACACACACACACACACACACAATCTTTTGCCCTACAGCATCCCATATGTATCATGTCTAAATGCTGTGTGTGAACATGCTGGAGTGTGTTTCTGATTGTTTACTTAAGTGTGCTTATTATGAACATCAATCTGGGGATCCAAAATTCAGTAATTTGACTATCATTATTACTACAGCACGCACGCACGCACACACACACACACACACACACACACACACACGCGCACACACACACACACACACACACACACAATCTTTTGCCCTACAGCATCCCATATGTATCATGTCTAAATGCTGTGTGTGAACATGCTGGAGTGTGTTTCTATGCCATTGTTTAAGTGTGCTTATTATGAACATCAATCTGGGGATCCAAAATTCAGTAATTTGACTATCATTATTATGAGTGTGAATTTGAATTGGCCACATCCACAGTATGTCAAACTGGAAAACAAATCATTATCATTAAGTTCCCATTATTTTGACTAATTATGTCTATTTATTCCCTAACACAGTAATTAAATCCCATTTTAATTTTGCCATAAAGCACCACAAAATGTCCACATGTCCACCATATTGTTTTCAGGTCCCCTTTTAAAAGAAACACTGACATTAGAATTCCCAGCGCTGCAGTCAATGCAGTCAATGCTCCAGTGGATAATGCGTCTCTCATCAACTGAGAGCACTTTCATTCTGTCAGACGGCAACTAATCTATGATAAGCAGACAGCTCTGAACTAGCTGGAGAGGTAGTCTTGGTCATCCCAGGATGTGTGGTTAAAACTTGTGGTGTTTCAGTAACCGTCAATCTGGTCCTCACAACACGGAGCTCAACGGAAGAGTGTCAGCCATGCTTTACTGTCCAGTGTGAGGAAAACTGTCAGCTCACACTGAACAATGTGATATTTAGCATTCATTTTGACAGTCGATATTTTGTTTCTAAAATGATAGCAGTAGAAACGTTTTGAAGCTCCACTGCTACAGCTTGACCCTCAGAGTAGGTTTGTGGCTTTTGCTCACCTTGCTTTATTCAAATGTTTTTACAAGTTTGTTTGAAACAAGGCTGTTTTATATGCATATCAAATAAAAACATTAAAATGAAGATGTATTTATATTATATTATATTTGGGTGTCAGGCCATGTTGAAGATACAGTAGGACAGAACACTGAACAGTTGATGTGAGTTACACTGGATTATTCTGTGGGTTCCTTCCTAAAGTGTGACTGCGTCTGTGTTTATTGTTGCTGATTGCAGTGAAGTGGAACCTGAATGACGAGCAAACTCATCTCAGGCTGAATGTCTTAGAGAACATCACGACAGGCTGCATCTTTATCATAGTCGCCATTAATGTCTTCATCACTGCATTTGGAGTTCAGTGGCCCAATGCAGGTGTGTGACACAAGCTCACACACACACAAACAGGTATATTACAGAACACACACACACACACACACACACACACACACAGGTATATTACAGAACACATGCACACATCACTTTAGAAGATTTTAAAGTTTAATCAGCTGTGTGAGCTTGTTGCAGCGCATTATGGGTAAGTTCTACGGGACTGGGTGTGGGCTGTCAGACAATTAAACAATAGGCTCAGAAGTATCACATATAAATATGTGTATGAAATCAATAACAAAGGTTGGTAGGTATGTATAAAAAACATTTGTCTGAATACCACACCCTGTTTCAGCCTTGTATTATATTTCATAATGTTGTGTTCAAGACAGCTACTGAGGTAGCTTTTAATTAAAACACAACGACAACAGAAAAATCCCTGAAACACGGAATATAGAGAAGACACTCCTGACAACTATAATAAAAGCCGAAAATCATTGATTTCATCAAATTGGATCATAACACTGAGTGATATAACATAGAAGACAGGCTGGCAATTTTGTTATTTAATTATGTGTTATGGTATTTTGTGCATTATTTACTGGCCTTTTATTGGCTTTTGTATTTGATGTTTGATTGATCTGTAATCAACAGCTATGATTATTCAGCTTGACTAAAATTAAATTAGAAATTAATTGAACCAGTTGACATACACTGAACAAAATTATAAACGCAACACTTTTGTTTTGCCCCCATTTTTCATGAGCTGAACTCAAAGATCTAAGACTTTTTCTATGTACACAAAAGGCCTATTTCTCTCAAATATTGTTCACAAATCTGTCTAAATCTGTGTTAGTGAGCACTTCTCCTTTGCCGAGATAATCCATCCACCTCACAGGTGTGGCATATCAAGATGCTGATTAGACAGCATGATTATTGCACAGGTGTGCCTTAGGCTGGCCACAATAAAAGGCCAACAAAAGAATGTGAGTGATATATACTGAGTGTACAGTAGTCACAGGTAACACACACACTGACAAAACCTAATGCTCTAGCACAGGGATCTCCAAACCTGCTCCTGGAGAGCTACCGTCCTGCAGACTTCAGTTCCAACACACCTGCCTGTAATTATCAAGTAGCCCTGAACACCTTGATTAGCTGCTTCAGGTGTGTTTGATTGGGGTTGGAGCTGAACTCTGCAGGACGGTAGCTCTCCAGGAGCAGGGCTGAAGGCTCCTGCTGTGGCACAACTCCAGTCCATTCTCAGAAAGCTGATGCTGACCTCTGCTGGCATGATGTGCATGTACACATGCAATCTCAATCAACTGTTTACAAGTGCTTTAGTGCTGCAGAACAACATACTGTTCATTTTTCTTTTATTGTTAGTCATTTTAATGTGTGCTTCATTTAAGCTGCTTCAAAAACTGAAGGGGATTATGAAGTTCTAAATAATTCAATAAAAATAAATAAAAATGTTGACTGAAATGTTGAGTGTTTATAAAATGAATGTTGAACAAATGGCTGTGTTTTAACAATCCATAACTGAGTTGACTATGTTGGACAAACTCACTAACTGGTTATATATAGTATACTAGTTTTACTAGTCTTATACAGTATTACATGTGCTATCAAATAAAACAATTGAACTAAACAAATGCCAAGACAGAGCCATCAGTAACATCAAACATTAAGCAAAAGAGGAATGCACATTAGACACATGAAAGCCAACAAGGAATGCATTTTCTCTTCCTTAGGCTTCTATCTTTTCATTTTTTATTTGAATGAATACACTGAACTTATTTTAATTTAGAACATTTGATGTTAATTTAATTTAATTACAAATTAATTACAAATTGAATGTAAAATATTAATCTTCACAAAGAAGCACTTTTCTCACACAATGAACTTTGGTCAAATATACAGGCTAACTCAAATATAATAGCTAATAATAATAACATAAACCCAAATGTTGCCATTTACATATAACTAAATTCTTTTAACAACATTAATGCTAAAAGTCAACAGACGTTTGTGAAACAGAATAAAGCGCTGTGCAATCAGTCAAAGCGCTTGACTGATTGCACAGACACTATTGGAGGAGATCATCAGTGAACTGACTTTAGCTGAAAAATGACTCTTTGTTATTGTCTTCTTGCATTATTGACAAACTATTTTCCTGTTTTACACTGTAAAGCTGCTTTGACACAATCAGTATTGTATAAAACGCTATATAAATAAAGGTGACTTGACTCCAGTAGACAAGTCTGCTAAATGTGTTTCTGTAAACCTGACACTTTTCTGTGATCAGGCCAAAGAGATTTCATTGTACCGACAGAATGAAAGTCATGAACAACACTGTGAATAAATGATGACAGAATGACCATTTTTGGATGAACTATGCCTAAATCATTAGCTTCCTAACCCTTAAATAAAACTTTTCAGAAGTCATCCATCCATCCATTCTATTATCCAGACCTCTTTGTCTTTATTCGGGTCGCGGGGAGCTGGAACCCAGCGTCTTGAGCCACAGGCGGGGAAACTCCCTGCATGGACGGCCAGTCCGTCACAAGGCTCACACAGATTTTAAGAAGTCATTTTTATTGAATTTCCCTTCCTTTGATACAGCGTGAAGTGAAAATGTTCAGTTTTACTTCAACATAATCAGTGAGACAATTTAAGTCCATGTGGCTCAAGTTACCCCTCACTGGGGGCAAGTTGAGCCAAGAGACCACTTTTTTTTTTGGAAAGCCATATTTTGAAAGCAGTTTATTTTACAGTTTATTCCAAAGTGATTATTCCCAAGGATGCACCAAATCCTGACATGTATGTACATATTTAAGTCGGACCCATTGCTCTCATTCGCTCACCTTAAACACACTGTAAGTAAAAAGTGGCTCAACTCTCCTCTACTACACAACCACAGGGTGGTGCTGCAGGCCGATGAATGTGTGCAACAAGTGCCATTTGCTCATGGTTTCCTTAATTCCTAAAATGCAAGATCAAAAGTACACAGTATTATAATATCTGCGCTACATTTGAAAGGAATTCCGTGTGCAACTTTTGCATTATATTCGTGTTTTTTATTCGCACATTATATCCAGAGGCACAGACACTTGCAAAAGAACAAAAAGTACCATGGTACTACCATTTGGACATGTAATATTGTTTTAGGTATCATGGTTCATTGATATGAACATAACATGTTACTGTCATATTTGTACAGCCAAAACATATGCTTGAGGAATAACGAGCAGGAATTTCCACATTTTGAAGCTTGCTTTGGTTTTTAGTTTGAGTACAACAACAACAATGAAATCTACCCAGCTGAGACTTTATCTCCATAAGGATATAATGATTATTTCAAGTGTGCATCCAGAAAGCATGTCTTTATATAGTAAATGAGAGAATTCCGTGTTGGTTGATTGTTTGGAATAATTTAAATAACCTGTTTTTATATTAACAGACAAGTGAAAAGAATCGTGTCACTGTTTCATATTTCAGTGTGACTTATGGGCAGTGACAAGTGACAGTATGTCAAGCATTAACGTCCATGTTGGACGGCCTTTCAAGACACGGTGTTGTACATCAATCTGTCTGGAGTCCCTTTGGATCATTTTCAACTCACTTGAGCCCTGCAAAGTCTACACTCTTAATGTCAAGGGAATGAGGCATATTTAAACATCCAGTAATGTTGCAGGTCATGGCGTCATGTCATAATAATTTACTATTTAAAACATTCATTGTTACCCGTTGCGTACTGTACTGCAAAACTATATACTAATGTTGTGGCCAGTATCAAGTGCAATAGCATGTTAAGTGCAATAAAATATAAAAATACAGTTCGAATCACACGCAGTTATCTACATAACATAACAAAACCACACATGAAAAAAGTTCCAGTTCTCAGTTGAGGGTCTTGTCTCTTGTGTGACTAGTCCCAGATTGAATCATTATTACACACAATCCTCCACAGTCTTCAGCACTTCGCTCACTTCCTCATATAGACATCATCTGGGCAGGGGGTTGATGTGGGCTAAACAGGTGCTGTCCATTCCAGAGAGGGTCTCGAAGCGGCCTGCAGAAATGTCTGTCCTCTGCAGCGTAGCGAGGGAAAGGGAACGCACAGCGTGTGTCTGCGGAGCCGATGTGTGTGTTTATGAGGTAGTCAGAGAGTGGATTGAATATCAGAGAGAACTGGGATGGATGGATGTTCAGAGGACAGGGCCTCCCTTCCTGAAGACACCTGTGAAAAACACATATAATCATAATGAAGTAACTCCACCTCAGTGCATGTCAGTGTGTTGTTTTTTTTAATTCACCAACATAAATGTGATGTATGGATAAATGCATGGAAAGTACAAAAGGAAAGTTTGGCAAGACAAACTTTTGATGTTGGCTTGACAAAGTGTTGCAAAAACATTTAAAAAGTTTCGGACTGTTGTGTCTTGGGTCAAGGATTTGATACAAAAGCTGTATTTTAAAGGAATAGTTCAAGCAAAAAATAAAAATTTGAAATGTTTTCAAATTTGAAATTAAAAATTCACTCACTCTCAGTTCATCTAAGATCAGGATGAGTTTGTTTCTTCATCAGATCTGGAGAAATGTAGCATTGCATCAGTGTCTCAGCAATGGATGCTCTGCAGTGAATGGGTGCCGTCAGAATGAGAGTCCAAACAGCTGATAAAAACATCACAATAATCCACAAGTTATCCACTCTTCAATTAATGTTTTTCACTGGAGGAAGCGTTATTATGGATTATGGACTTTAAATGACCAGAAGCAACACGTCTTAATGCTGGATGTGTTTCAGCTTTTGTCTTCTCCAGATGTTAACTGATGGACTGGAGTGCTGTGGATTACTTGTGGATTATTGTGATGTTTTTATCAGCTGTTTGGACTCTCATTCTGACGGCACCCATTCACTGCAGAGCATCCATTGCTGAGACACTGATGCAATGCTACATTTCTACAAACCTGATGAAGAAACAAACTCATCCTAATCTCGGATGGCCTAAAAGAGTGAGCACATTTTCATTTTTAGGTGAACTATTGATGGGAGCATATTGAGTGTTTCTGTGAATGTGTGTGTATTTCATCTATTTTGAAGCGTGTTTGGACAGTACCTGCAGGGAGTGTGGAGGTCACCAGGGCTGTAGATGTGTTTGTCTGTGTGCTGTCTCTCTCCTCTGGTGTTGTTGTTGTTGTTGTTGTTGTTTGTGGTTTTCTGGTTGTGTAACACCTCTCTCTGCAGCTCCACACCCTCAACATCCATTTGTTGCCAAAACTCTGACGCTCCAGTTTTTCTTGCCCTACACATCACATAAGACACACTCATTACAGTCATCCGCATCAATGGTGGCTTTAACTGACTTCCTTCACATCTGTCTTTCTCTCCTCATAAGCTGACTGATGTGAGCACTTCTGAGTAATTCTTCTCAAATCACATTCTGAATCATGTCCACTTCAACAACATCTGGGCGCAGTGTTTTGGAGAGAGCATGTGGTACCTGGATAATTACAAGCAACTAAACTAAACCCTAACCCTATAGTACATGCATATCATGGTTAATTACTACTAGTCAGCACTTAATTGGATAATTACAGTGTAGCAAAGACACCGTAAAATAAAGTATAAACATTATTTGCAATTAAGTGAAAACATATTATAGATTAAATTCATATTAAATGCAATTAGTTTTTGACCCATAATTACTTCTGTTGATTATGAAATATGGTTAAAGTTACTGCTGAGTGTACTGACAAGAATTTATAATAAACTAAAATATCCTTTAAAGACATTTCTCTTGAAACGTGTATGTCACGTATTTAGATATATTTGTAATTAGACATTTGTAATGATGAAATTGCAATATAGTACATTTAAAATATATTAACTTTAAATATAATATCAAATAACACACTGCAGTTAAAATTATAATCAAGTAGTTTCCGTGTGCTTTAGTATGTTAGTTAACGCATCACAATAAGTGTACTTCTTTAAAACGCTACAAAAGATTATTAAAACATTATGATGTAAAATGTACTTAAAGTAAAACTTAATTTGACATTATTACAAGGTGCACTTTTTACAAGTCTACTTAAGTGTTTTAAGAAACAGTCATGAAAGTCTCTCTCTTTAATTCACTTGAGTGGCCTTTTATTTCATTAATATTAGAATATAATTATCTGCAAGTACAGTTTTTTTTAAATATACTGTTCAGATTTGAAGTACACTGCAAATGCACTTTCATTACAATTAAGTGCACGTATTTCACAAGGGACTGAAGACATGACTGTCGATGCTTTCGAAGTAAATGGTGACGGAATTATTTTGAAGTTGCAGGTGATAAATGAACCAGGTTTTGAGAGCTCTGTGTATTTTCAATCTGTCTCTCACCTCTCCATCTTTCTCCTCTCCTCTCGTTTCACGTGTCTCACCAGACAGGAAGTGATGAAGAAGATGCTCATGAGGAGGATGATGGCTGAGCTGATGAAGGACACAAGAAGAGCTAAACGAAAGCCGTCATCCTCGAACCGAGATAAAGCTGCAAAAATACAGAAACCAAACACACAGTGAGAGGATGACAGTAGCAGATATTTTCCTGTATATTTGATCATATGTCTTGGTGAACATATGAGATTCTTTCAAATGTTAACAAGGTTTTCCATGACTCTGGGAACTTTAAAGAGACACTCTGAGCAGTTCTGAATCCTAATATGCTGTATTTATGAGGTTACAGCTGAACTTATATCGCCTAGTAAACTGTGACAAGCCTTTTTCAAGTCTTAATGCAAATCTATTATTATATCCTTTGTATTATTATAAAATTAGAATGGTTTCATATTCTGGAGTTCCATAACCCTTTTTTTTTCATTTAAAACTCAAATTGTGGCAATAATTTTGTCCAACAATCTGCATGAATGACATTATGATTCTTTAAGAAATGTCTATAACGTCACTAATGTAAAAATGGCTTAATATGTAAATTGGCCCGTCACTACTGAGAATGGCAAGATACTGTTTTGAAGGGTTGACAAATGTAAGTGTGTTCACATTTATCATATATGTGTGTGTGTCTTACGTTTACACTCTGGTGTCCCACCGCTCCAGTGACAATCTGCATGAATGACATTATGATTCTTTAAGAAATGTCTATAACGTCACTAATGTAAAAATGGCTTAATATGTAAATTGGCCCGTCACTACTGAGAATGGCAAGATACTGTTTTGAAGGGTTGACAAATGTAAGTGTGTTCACATTTATCATATATGTGTGTGTGTCTTACGTTTACACTCTGGTGTCCCGCCGCTCCAGTATGTCTTATTGCTGCTCCACACACAGGACATCTGACTGCCGCTGACCGCGCGGTGTCTGGAGGGGCACTGGAGGCTCATCACGCTGCCCATGCTCGTCCCATCACCGGACACCAGCTTCAGAGTCCCGACCGCAGGAGACAGCAGCGGAGCGCACTGACCTGTGCGAGCCAATAACACCCACCTTACAATGCTGCCATGCTAAGACTGAATTTAAAGAAATAGTTCACCCAAAAATGAACGTTTGCTCACCCTCAGGCCATGTGACTCACCCCAGTGAATGGGTGCCGTCAGAATGAGAGTCCAAACAGCTGATATCACCGGACACCAGCTTCAGAGTCCCGACCGCAGGAGACAGCAGCGGAGCGCACTGACCTGTGCGAGCCAATAACACCCACCTTACAATGCTGCCATGCTAAGACTGAATTTAAAGAAATAGTTCACCCAAAAATGAACGTTTGCTCACCCTGAGGCCATGTGACTCACCCCAGTGAATGGGTGCCGTCAGAATGAGAGTCCAAACAGCTGATTAAAACATCACAATAATCCACAAGTAACCCACACCACTCCAGTCCATCAGTTAACATCTGGAGAAGACAAAAGAAACATTTTCCCCTTTGGAATATTTCAGCAGATATTACATGTGTCTCGTTTTTCTGTGGAATGAACCAGCCATGCCAATCTTTTGTTTTTTTCACTTTTCGGTGAACTGGCCGAACGCGTTTGGACCGCTCTCTCACTGAAGCATATCCACGGGTCTGAAATTAACTGGGGCTTGAGGCAAAAATGCCCCTGCACAATTAAACTAAATCTATTACGGCTGTCACGAGTAAAGTGAAAATGAAAAGTGTTGATTGTGGCATTACATTTAGATCTGCTCATATCGCATCATATTTCTTTTTTACTCGTTTTTACAGCGTTGCGCATTAAAACCAATCACACACAGTTCTGAGTTTATGAATGCAGCGGCCAATCAGAGGCGTGCGTTCAGATGAGTCATCACTGAAACGCCGGAGTTCTGATCAGAGCGCACGCTCACTGACTGAATTCTGCTCTCTCGCGAATTCTCTCATCATAAACAACAAAATACAGATGAAAGTATAAGAGATTCATTTGACAGTGTAGACAGCTTCATTGATAACAACAGGAGTTTTTTGAGCGTGCTTAAACTCACACTAGACTGAAGTCAAAGATAATACGATAATGTAAATGTTCTTTGTTCGCTTTCAGTATAATTTATTCGCTAGCTGAGTAACCGTGGAAATAAAAAAATATGAAATACTTACAATGTTTTTATTAAAATGTAATCACGTTAAATATAAATTCAGTCATATTAAAATATTTTATGACATGAAACACATATCTGGTAGGCCTAAAAAGACAGGTTTATGATGTGCATAGTTAATAGATTTCATTAGGCTAGTTTTATTATTTTTACTATTAGGGATTATAGACTTGTATTTTAGTTAAAAAGGTCTTAATGCTGGATTAGTTTCAGCTTTTGTCTTCTCCAGATGTTAACTGATGGACTGGAGTGCTGTGGATTACTTGTGGATTATTGTGATGTTTTTATCAGCTGTTTGGACTCTCATTCTGACGGCACCCATTCACTGCAGAGCATCCATTGCTGAGACACTGATGCAATGCTACATTTCTCCAGATCTGATGAAGAAACAAACTCATCCTGATCTTGGATGACCGACATCTATTTTCAGCAAATTTTTTGGGTGAACTCTTCCTTTAATTGATCTTCAAGATCAAGAGATTAGAAAAGCAGAAAGTAAAAAGATACAGATAACCAAAAGCTAAACCAAAGTAAAAGTATCCAGAATGCCATAGGTTCATTTATGTGTGCAGATTCTCAGATTGCTCTGCACCCTACGGCTGTGTTGCTTTGCACTGCTACTGTTCTGCTAGTGAGAAGTGAAACTGTAAAGCAGGTGTGAGCTGTACTGTAAATGAGTGGCTAACAAATAACAAACCTGTTTTAATGACACAAAACTTCAGGTTAAAATGTATACATAGTGGAGACCAGGGCTGCTTCAAATTGTGTGTTTTGTCGCACTTATGTTGTCACAGCTTTTGCTCCAGTGAATATTGCTTAGCATAGGTTCATTACACAGACTATTTTGAAATAGGCATAAAGATAATTCAATAGACTATAAAGATAAAGATAATTATATAGACACAGGTAGGGTTCGACCCCCTAACTGAGCATTCAAGCATGCTGCTTTGCAGAATATTTCTTGCCTTTAACTTACTCAAGCTTGACGGACAACTGTTTTAAATACACAAATTAAAATAGCATCTGTTTGTCAGAATATTTTCTGTGTTGAGTTTTGCTGCCTCGTGTCACATATGCCTGAGTTTGCCACCGAGTAGAGAGGAGGTTAATGTTATGTAGACTAACAAATTTTAACAACTGAAAATGTGCAGAGCATGCAATATTGATGACCTTTAGGAGGGACTGAGAGGGCCAGTGTGTTTATCAGCAATGCCTGAAACACAAAAATGTAGCTGATTTTTAGAGTACATGATTTAAAGTTTGGTCTGTTCCTCACACTTTGAATAAGTAGGCCTATAGCTTCATACTTTTATGATACTTTAATGTAGATAAGAACAGCATGAAAATGTTTACATTCGTGTTCCACTGACAAAATAACAGCGTACCGTTTTTTTAAGGCTACATGGGTAAACCTCACGTCGACATAACAGAAAACACAAGATGAAGAAAGAAAGAGGAAGACATCGCGTGTTTCCGACCAGAGAACCGCTGTTATTTGCACAGACGTGTTTCCTGCTCTCATATCATCCTGTCTACTCTTAATACAAATGAAAACCCCAAACCCTCTCTTCTCTCTCTCTCTCTCTCTCTTCTCACACACACACACACACACACACACACACACTATAACACACACACACACTCTCTCTCTCTCTCTCTCTCTCTCTTCTCTCACACACACACACTCTCTCTCTCTCTCTCTCTTCTCACACACACACACACACACACACACACACAAGCAATTCATTAAAACCGCATTTAAAGAAAAGTTTTCTCCCCCTACACACAGTGATCAAGAATAGACTATTGCACATATAGAATATATTTGTCCGACAACAGCTACATGGGATCCACGTACAAACAGTAATGTTAACTGTTAATTACGAATTCAAACTCAATCGGCAATGTTGTAAATTAAAACTGGTATGAATGTTAAGAGAACAATCGCTTTATTTTAAGGTATCCCTGTTTCAGTGTAATTAAACAAATGAGTACTTACTAAAATCAATTTACAACTTACTTTAAATTTACTTACTAGGCCTATAAATTAGAGTTTGTAATTATGTAATAGTCATAATTTACTATGATTTCCATAGTAGCCTACTTACATGTAACATAACGTAGCCTACACATCTTACGCATCTGTGTGTCACCGAGCAATCTTGTGCTATAAAGCAACTCAAAGCTTTAATCTTATAGAAACCAACACATTTCAGAAAGTCATATGTTTAAGTAAACAGTGTACTGATGAATTTACCTGTCTGGTTGTGAACGCTGCTCCAGTCCCCCATCACTGATTCAGATGCACTGATGAAAGCCATTCAAACTGTGGCACAAGCGCTTTCGCTTCACTTCTCTTTCTGCCTCTCCTCGTCTCGCCGAACCTGTGGACCCGCGCATGCGCAGAGAGAGCGACAGACAGGCAGTATGATCAGTCTGGAGCGAGTGTTTAGGATTTATGATGAGGACACGCTGTCTCCAAGCTGTCGCTCTGTCTTAGTGGCTTAACCTGCGTGTTCTGTTACTCATCAAGTCGCTGTATATGGTGGCTACAGGTCCAGATGACCGCTGAAGGACTCAACAAGCCTAGATTAATAATAAGAAAAAGATAACAGGACAGTAGTCTTAATGGCCAATATAAAAATTCCAAATCTTTTTTATTACATTTATACCTCATTATATACATTCTGACATAATGTGATTTTTTTTAATCAACTCGCTCCAAAGATTAGAGCTCCTAAAAATAGTTAGATCAGCTCAAGCACTGGCCTAAAGTTAAGAGATTTTGCTTAGTTATCAGTTATCAGACTGTGATATGTTAAAATGGAATAGATAGCCTGTGTATATTGAATTAAACACACTTGGGACTGGTGTTCATTTAGCCTATGCATTCTGAGGATGTTTTGAAATTGCAATTGTCTATAAAATACATAAATTGTAGATAGCCCATTGACATGTTATCTGGTTAATGCACAGCATGCCTCGGTTTCTGATGACTGTAAAACAAAAGAAGAATTATTGCAGATTAGTCTCAAGGCCTTATCTTAATGCTGATGACTTATAGAGGAAGTTAGGTGTTGTCTTGCAAAAAATGAGTTTCAGTAATTAGAAAAATGAAGTGAAAGTTGAGCAAGGTTTTGAAGTAAATGTTCGTGAGAGTTTAAAAGCATCCTGAAGCCAGATGGAGAGGCTCAGAAAGAGGAACTACTGCAGGAAGTACTGCAGGTGCCTGCAGAGCCGTGACAAGCTGAGAGCTTGAACAAGTGCATGCGTCACTTCCTGTTTGTTGCTGCCACATGGTTTGAGTTTGGAGCTCCGTCAGGTTCTTTATCACCTATTTTTTTAAATCTTAAAATCAATTTTATACACCATCATTTTCGTTTCTATAATGTGTGAACATACCCCGATCGTATTCTACAACAAAAACAATAAGAGCGCCTTATTATCACTAGTTTTGATATTTTATGACATGATTTTGATTTCCCTAATCGACTTCTAGCTTATAGCTCGTTAGCATTGCCAGCGCGGTTGCCGCTAATATCACATTGCTTACACCCTATTCACACACATTACCATTGTTTTACTCACCGTTTACTTGCTCTAATGGCGGATGTGTGTCTACCTTTGAGTGCAGGTGAGGACACGTTCGAGCTGCACTCGGTGCAGTTGGAGCTGGAGGCCGTGGAGAAGCAGATCCATGACCTACTGGTGAAGCAGGCCCAGCTGAGGGAGCAGAGAGCCACGCTGGAAACACCCGGGCTGACGCTCACAAGTCCGAGGTAAGTCTATGGTGGACTCCATCGTTCAGCACATCTGTGCTACCTTAGCTAAAGGTAAGGTGCACACTCACTGTTTTCCTGGTGCTCGTGTTCTCAATGTTTCTGAGCAGATACCCACAATCCTGAAGGGAGACGAGAGCATCGGAGCTGTCGTGCTTCACACGGGGCTGAACGACATCAAGCTGTGGCAGACGGAGATTCTGAAGCAGGACTTCAGGAGCCTAATCGAGACGGTTCGC